TCAGGGTCTTTGTCATTACCTATGGGGGGGAAACTCAAATTCGTATACCTTAAAAATTTTAGATAGTAGGTATACGAGATCCACAAAATGGTTATAGTCTTGACGTGCATGCGAGCAAGCTGCTATCACATGAGAGCATGGATACTTCAGAGCTTGAAAAAACCCGCAGTCGCACGCTCTGTCCCTTAGATTTACTCTTAACGACACAGCTTCAATCCCTTGAAGAGGTCGCGACAACTCTGTGACACGAAACATTTCATGCCTTCTAGAGAAGCTTGTTACAGACATTCTATTTGATGCATCAATTTTTTTTTCTGTAGATCTGCAACTAATCTAGGGTGATAGACATGGCCGCCTTGCATCCAGGTTTGAGCTTGTCCCCCGAGCTTCGCAAAAAGCACCTCCAAACGAAAATATATAGTCTTTACCAAAGCCGCTACTGGTAAGTGACGTGCACCCTTTAAAGTTAAATTGATTGTCTCTGTCAAGTTGGTCGTCATGTGTCCATATCGATATCCACCATCATATGCGTTCGTCCACATTTCTTTATCGATGAGGCTGATGTAATCATATCCTTCCTCGTTCTTCGCCCGCAAATCTTGAAGCATTGATTCAAACGTTCGAGGAAGTAGTTCGTAACCTGATCAAAAAAATATATAACTTACTAACTTGTTTTCTTTGCAAAAGTAAAACGATTGAAAGAAAACAAACTATATTAGTTTCACTTACCCATGAGCACAATTAATTGACGCTCATAATTCTTCTTGTACCTTCTATGATAGTTCGCAGCAATGTGTCGGAGACAATACCTATGTTGGACAAAGGGTGGTTGCCACAGTGGACCCAAATACTCCATTACTGCTTTGATCCCAGCTCCGCGATCTGAAATGACACAAATGTTTTCCCTCGTGAAAACATGTGCACGTAAATTTTAGAGGAAAAAAGCCCAAGAATCTGTATTTTCTCCTTCGACAAGAGCAAAAGCAACTGGAAGAATGTTGTGATTGCCATCTTGGACAACTGTCAATAATAAAACTTGCTTGTTTTTTCCATACAAGAAAGTCCCGTCGATCTGGACCATAGGCTTGCAGTATTTGACAGCATTAACGCGCTGTGGGTAACTCCAAAAAACCCTGTAGAATTGGCTTCGATCGCGAAGAACTCGATCATTATGGTATGCATAGGAGGTTTCAAAGTCCACAATTTTCCCAGGAACGTCCGCACCATCCTAAACCAACCTGAAAGTTCGTTGTAAGATGCATCTCATTCGCTATGAAGTTTGACAATAGCATTTTGTTTTGCCAACCAAGCTTTTTTATAGGAGACAATGTACCCATACTGCGATTGTATAGCTGAAATCAACACTGCAACAGCTATATAAGAGCTTGTTTTTACTATGGGCATGATGGCTTGGCATATCATTTCAGAGTCCAAGTTGGGATGATTTTGGTTGACCCCTCCAGCACAACATGTGTGAGGACTGTTGTATACTGTTAGTTCTCATATGTTGTTTTTCCTCTTCATTTTCGATATGCGAGTCATCCAATTGCATCTGTTTTCGCGTCGGCCATAATAATATACATATTTTTCGTTCATCGATCGATTGACTTTGGACTGAACAGAATTACGGATATTGTAGTTTTTTATACCCATCACCTCTTCTTCTTTGCTTGAAAACTCCATGCCTAAATATAACTCACCATTATTTATTGATGAGTAATATCCATAGTCACCGAGATGAGGCATATCCGCAAATTTTGGCCCGTACATTGTACCATAATCAGCTTCATACATGTGTACAGGAGGGTCATTTTGTGCCACATTTCCTGGAACTTCATCATCATCGGAGTTGAATTGCGGTGATTCTGGGTGAATGAATAGTCCAATCTCAGCACCATCCGCACCAGGCTCACGAAGCGGTTCTTCTGGTGGAGATGATGATTTCTCCATGCTCTCCACATTTAGGTCGAAGAACCTACTACTTGCACGCCTTCCCCTTGAACTGGAAGGCATATCGACATTGAGATCGAAAAAGCTCGTAGTCGAATGCCTCCCCCTGGAGCTTGAAGCCATCGTGTCAAATGGAAACTGCACAGATGGTTGCGTCGATGACATCTCCATATAGTTAAAGAAATTTGCAGATGAATGCCTTCCCCTTGAACTGACGTGGTATTGTCATACGGATTATTCGTGGACCCACCTCGGTACATATCGTAAGGAGTTACGGATGAATGTTTCCCCATTATGGCATTAAAATCATTACACATTACTATAGTCGGGCTGTCAACTTGATCAAGTTGTTCAGCCAGCCCATAGTGAGAGCTTAAAGATTGACCCCGAACAGCACACACTTGAACAAAATGTGCATACATCTCAATAGCGGCTTCTGAATAATTACTTTGAGCTTCAACAATCATTTGAAGATCATCATTGTTCAAAAGTTCAAACGTTGTATAAGTTAATGGCAACAATGAAGTTGGAAATCTGTACTGCAACGACGACATTCTTCTACTACTTCCAACATGAATCTTCCTCGAAATCTTCGTTATCAGCTCCTCAAGAGTTATGTTTCTCTTGAATGATATTTTAACACGCTCATTTGATACGAAAACAACGCCGGTTTCATCTTCTCGAATTTCACCATCATAATAAACAATAGCTGAAAGTCGCGCCATTCATTGAGTTTAAAAGTGCGGAAATATTATATATGCAAAAAAATAACTGAAACAAACCTGATTAAATAAATTATACATGAACGAAAATATAACACAATATTTTTTTTACACAACAACGTAAATAATTTAAATAATATAATTTTATATTATTATATGTACCGCAAAACTATTTTGACGTATGCTCCTGCTTTTCAATTTTACAAACACAAAAATTAATTGAAAATAATTAATATACTATTTTTTCAAATAATCATAATAAACAATAAGTATAATAAAAAAATTGATAACAAAATTTATAACGAAAAATCGCACGAACTTCTAAATCAAATATGAAAAAATTACCAGAATTTTTACTCCTTGACGAAATTGTTGTATTAATTTATAAGTTAGAGGAGAGAGATGTGAGAAACTTAACAGGGAGCGAAGGGTATTTATAACCATATAAGGCGCGGTATCTGCACCGCGCTATATGTAATTATTCAGATAAAGGTGTTAGATCGAGAAATATAATCTGACCGGTGTTAGATCGGTAAATATACCGATCACTGATGATTTATAAGCCATGTCAGCGTATAGCGCGATACAAGGGGCGCTATACCCAACGTGGCGCCAAATCAGCATATAGCGCGGGGCAGGGAGCGCGTTTTACTGCTACGGGTGTTAGATCGAGAAATATAATCTGACCGGTGTTAGATCGGTAAATATACCGATCACTGATGATTTTTCGAGAAAAACGCCGCATAATATACTATGGTAAAAAATATTTTTAACAGAAAATCGAAAGAAAAAGAAAATAAGTTGACATAATATTAAGAAACTCTCACGTGCGACAGTCTTAATATACGGTTAAAGAAAGACGCTACTGGTTTTGTTATTATTTTTTTTAACAAAACCAGTGAAAAATTATCCGAAATATTATTATTTCTACCGGTTTTATTATTATTGGGTATTTTACCAGTTTGTTAACATATCCGGTAAAGCGCTACCGGTTTTGTTATTTTTTCTACCGATTTTGTTATTATTGGACACTTTACTGAAAATATTAAAAAACATTAATGTTTTAGGTAGAAATAATAATATTTTAAGTAATTTTTATAGATTTTATTAAAAAAATGATAATAAAATCAATAACGTCTTTCTTTAATTGTATATTAAGACTTTTATACGATATAAATTCCCATATTGGAGGAAGAAAAAAAAGGTTAGAAATGTGTCCCTAAAGTCTCTTTATGTACTTATATTTTAAGCACGCCTTCTTGAACCAGCTAATGGATACGTTAAGCATCCAAGGTTAATTTGTAATCCACTCCGGTTTTCTTTTTTTCTCTTTTTACCGTTTTTAAACATGGTTAAAAATAATCTTGAGAATTGTTGAATTGAATTCAATGTTTTTTTCCTCTCGTCAAACTCAGATGCATCCAACAAGACCTAGTCGAGGGGTATCGAATCTGCTTGAGTGCTTGTATAAGAACATCCAATTAAGAATGGACCAACTGTGTACAATTTCTATTTGACCGTAAATATTATTACCAGTCGATCGACCAGACAGTTTTGTTATAAAACACCCTTACCAAGGAAGTTAAATGATGGCCAAGGAGACACCCACACAATGTTCTTGTCCGTGTCTATCTGCATTCGATTGCAAAAAGGGAAATTCAATCGAACTTTCCTAATAATGAGTATCATGAAAGATTACGAAAGAAAAGAAATGATTTTTCATTAAACAATGATGGTATCGTTCCCAGAAAACATAAAAATTTAAAAATTTCAAACAAAATCAAAACGATAACTAGATTACCAAAACAACAAAATATTGCCTTTTCCCCAAACAGTTCATCGCACTATATTCAGAAATCTAATAGGCACAATCCAAAGCCATGGGACCGTTGAAAATTGGATAATTTTTCGTATCAAAAGACGCTTTGGAAAGAAAAGATATCTAAGTACGACGTATAAAAGAAAGCAGTGGAGAATACAGAATTCTGTAATTTAGTACTTAAAATTTGCCTCTCTAATTCTCAGATTCTCACTCTCTTCCCGCTCAGTCTCTCTCTCTCTCTTGCTTTTTACCCTAAAAAGGGCATTGATTTGCTTCTTAAAAGACCCTCTTCCTGAGCAGTCTCTTTCAAGTTTGACAGAGGGAGGGACTTCAAAACTTGTTTTTCGTTCTTATAAATATTATTACTCCCTTATAAAAACCAATTTCTTTGTTCTTCAATTCTTTTATTACAGGAAATATATTTCGCTTATAAACTATCACCGTTTCTTGTTTAGAAGATATAATATTTTTTTTCTTACAGAATTTTTGGGAGGTTTTTGTCTGCAATGGCACCAAGTTTTGATTGTGCATTTTCAAGTCTTCTATGTGAAGAAGACAACTTCAGCATTATCGATGATTACTTTGGTGGGGTGAGGGAGTTTGGGGCAAAGGCATGGAATCATAGATTTTATCGAAACTCGAATCAAAACCGAGTCTTTGATGGAGTTGGGTTGCCGAGTGAAGAATGCGTGGCTTTAATGGTTGAGAAAGAACACCGACATCTTCCCAGTGCTGATTACTTGAAGAGGCTACAGAGTGGTGATTTAGACCCGGCGGCTAGACAAGAAGCTATTGATTTTATCCGCAAGGTTTGCTTTATTTCACTATGCCATTGGGGACTATGTCTCTTCATTTCTTTCCTATCGTCTTCGTTTCTTGTTGGATTTTGTTTTTACTTATTCATTCGAGCTTCTTTCAATGGTTAATTGAACAGGTTCGTGCACATTTCAGTTTTGGACCATTGTGCGAGTATTTATCAGTAAACTACTTGGACAGGTTTCTGTCTGCCTATGAATTACCCGTAAGCTCAAAAACCAAATCAAACATGAGATTCTTCAAACTTTTGGACCTACCGTATAATTGTATGTAATGATGCAGAAGGGTAAAGGTTGGACGATGCAATTACTAGCTGTGGCATGTGTATCTCTTGCAGCCAAAATGGAGGAGACTGAAGTTCCATTACTTTTAGATTTACAGGTTAGGGAATGTAAATTTGTGTTTGAGGCTACAGCTATACAAAGAATGGAGGTTTTAGTGCTGAGCACATTGAGTTGGAGGATGCAAGCAATCACCCCATTCTCCTTCATAGACTATTTCCTTTACAAGTTCCATGATGATAAAATCCCACCAAGGAGTTCAGTATTGAGATCAATCCAACTAATCTCAACCACAATAACAGGTCCCCCGCTGCTATTCATACTTTTTGCAATAATTTGAGAGGGAAACTGAATTTGGTGGTGGGAATTTAATGCAGGGATTGACTTGTTGGAATTCAAACCTTCTGAGATTGCAGCAGCAGTGGCCATAAAAACCACAACAGTGGACACTGAGAAAGCTATGTCTTTTCTCACTGAACATGCACAAAAGGAAAGAGTGATTAAGTGTGTGGGACTGATGCGTGAGATGTCATTGGTTGGTGCCACCCCCGTCCCATCAGTGCCCCAGAGCCCGATCGGGGTGCTGGATGCCGCTAGCCTGAGCTATAAAGGCGACGACACCAGTCCCGATACCAAAAGGAGAAAGCTTAACAGGCCCTGTGAAATGGAACTGTAAAACATCAACAAGATTTATACATGTTTTGTTTATCGTTGTGGGAAAAGTTTTGTTCAATAAGTTCATGCTCTTGGCATGGGGGGGTGTCACCAGCTGTTAACTTTAGACTGCTACTATTGTTTTCTGCTTGTGAGATAAAAAGGAAAAAAAATAAATACATTACTTATTTATGTATGATTAGTTCGAATTTACCAAGATGCAAAGAAATCCTATTGATTCCAGAGTAAACTCAAAATCATTATTATTCCATTAATTATGAGTCAATGAAGCATATTCGGAATTAAAATATAACATTGGACCGAAATTAACTGATGCCTTCCATATTAACCGCTGCCATGGATTTATTCCCGACAATCAAAAGCATTACATTAACTGATCACATGAAACATCCAATGCTTTGCTCATGTAACAACGAGACTAGTAATTTTACCATTATGGTTAAAAACATAATTGATTAATACAGTATACAAATGAAATTATATATAATTTAATTAATATAATATTAAATAAAATAAATACCAATGAAAAAAAATTAACGCTCATACCCCTGCATAGTGATACTCGAACACAAGACCTCGAGGAATAACAACAAATTTTTAATCACTTAAGTCGCTTACTAAAAATTTTGTATTTTTGTTATATCTTTTAAAAAAATGGTGATTTCATGAGATAGATCTGTCATTAATAATTTATGAACCAAAATGGCTGAAAATGACATTTAGGTAGCAATCAATATATGGTCCAAATTACATGGGCTTAAAGTTTAAAACAAAGATGAGATGACAGTTAATATAAAAACAAGTATATGAAACATAACACAAGACAAGATCCTTGAAAACTGTAAACCCATTTTTCCTACAGCTAAATTTTACAGAATCTTCAGATTAAGTTTAATAATGTTTCTTCTGAGAAATCGAGCTTAGGAAACAATTAATAATGTTTTTTTCTTCTTAAAATAATAATTTTTTAATTTAATATGCCCAATAGCCCAGAGCGCAGTCAAAGAGCCTTAGCTCCATAAAGAGCTTTAGCCTTAAGTCGTTACGGATTAAACTTGATAGCAACATGGGCCTTCCACAAAAATCCAATGCCCAATGATCCATCAAACTTATCCATGCCCGCTATTGTTTTTAAAAAAACAAAGTTTAAATACAATCACTAAATTATCTTAAATTAAAGAGTTAAAGTGAAAAATTTCACTGTAATTCATAAATAAGTATTAAACCTTCAAATTTCCATAATATCTCTATATATCTTTATTTTTACTCATTCAATTATTTTAAATATGCATAAAATTAAAAGAATTATCTTTTACATATTCGTGGGTATTTGTACTGTATACATGTTTTTCTAGTGTCACGTGTTTCTTCTCTTTTTTTTTCTTTCGTGTTCCTTGTGCGGAACTATTTCAAAACTCCTGGACTGTAAGATTTTCTTCCCTTCAAAATTAGTACGCAGCATCATTGGAGAGTGATACATATTTCTACCACGACATTATTTAACATTGTTAGTTTTCGAAGACACTTCAAGAGATGAAAGTTACATACCGAGTTACAGTTAAGGATAAGTATTTCACCCAAATCCGATAAATTTGAACTTAATTTGTTTCGATCAAGCTAATTTTTTATTTTGAAAATTTGAATTAATATTTGAGTCCGTCATATTCGAGTTTAGGATAAAAAAAATTAAATTGTTTTGATATGATATAATATTATAATTATTCTTTATATTTTTATAGATAATTACAATAATAATCCTTTTAATTAGTCCTTATTTTGACTAATAAAAATATATTATATATAGGTTAGATCGAGTACGGGTTGAGAGATTAATTTTTTAGTTATATGATTTGACCTATATCCCTAGGCATAATGAACCATTTAAAAGTAGAGATGTCGCATTGATAAAATTGACAAGGTGGATGGATATTTGTGGTATTACCCTTTAGAAAATTGAAATTGAACATGCAAGTATAAAGTAATCAGGATCTAAAGCAATATTTAGAAAAATACGAAGGGGCAAATGGAAAATACAAAAAGACAGTATCACCAGACCCGAAAAATCAGTAAAATCGCCATAAAATATATAACAAAAGTCAAAAGGAAAAATAAAAAAGGAGGAGAAAACTAGCAGTTAAAACACACGCCAGAAAGAGCACGCCACTGGCGGCTAAGATGTTTTCCAACAACTTCAATCCACTCTTTATTACCACGGCTTAAAATTTTGGAAGTTAAAAATTATTTGATTGCAATATTAAATGATTAAAATATTTTCTACTATGATTAAAATCATAATTTAAAATTTCGGTTATAAAATTAAAAACAATTATGAAAAACTAAATTTAAATTTCATATATTTAAACATAATTAACATTTTAATATCTCGTAATGATAAAATTAAATATATCATAAGCTACTCCACTTGTATATTTCAAACCCGCCCACCTCCAAAACCTCTCCGTACACCCGACTGTCACGCTATCATTCGCGTGCATGTTAGGCTATTTAATAATACTTTACTTTGACCCAACAAATTAAACACTGTTAAAAGAACTAAAAGCGCGAGCCAGCGTGCACAAATGCATGCGCTCTTTAATAAAATCCCGACGCCGATGCTGATGTTGATGCAGCGTTTTGTTTTGTTTTTTTTTTCGAAATTTCAACGGTGGTAAAATATGTTTTTTCCCCCTCATTACAGAAGAAAAACATAGGAACTTTAGCTAATTTATGTAATATCATTTTAATGATAAATTTATTTTGAGTTGAAAATAATGTTTTTTACGTTAACTAAATTAAATAAAAATGAAATTTTAGAAAGTTGAAGCAATTTGTTTCACTCTTTTGTATACTGAGACGGGCCACCATGATTCTTCCACGTGTCGAGGTAACCAATCGTGAGGCACCGAGCGGAGGAGCGTGAAGATGCTGGGAAAAAGATAAAACGGCGTGGGTGACCCCCTCTCTTTTATAAGAAAAAAATAAAAAAAAAAGTCTGCTGTTTCTTACTGTACTAAAGATTTTGATGTCGGATTGCAAGATTTTCTTCCCTTTTTATTTTATTTTTTCCTCCAAAGTCTTCTAATATAATATGTATATTTTAATTTCTGGATGTTAAACTTTAAAAAAACATTATTTTTTAGTTTCCCTGATCTTTGATTATTTGCAGCGAAATGACCACTTTGACCTTTCTATTTTAAGTAAAATTTTATTTATTTATTTATTTATTTTACTCCGACCACCAAGGAAATCAAACATTGTGGGCAGCTGAGTTTGGTCAATGTTTAACGCTAACTCTTCAAATAAGGGGAGAAGTTCAATGTATTTAAAATTAAGCCACGGATTAAACAATAATTAATGAAATAGTTTGATTAAGAAGAGTCAAAACAACCGATTGAATTTAAATTACTATAAAATTAAATATTTAAATATTCAATATATTTTAATTTAAATGTAAGAGATCTAACTTATTAAGAAAAAGCTTGGATATCAAGATGTTAATCCTTTTTGTTTTATAATGGCTATCACTTTCTTGATTAGACATATCCTCAATTATAACCCAGTGTTGAAGCAATGTGATTGCGGTGTCCTAGGTGGTGTTTGTTTTTACAAAGGTAAAAGATTTTTAGTATGCAGACCACATTTGCAGGCATCTGCAGTGGACCAGAAGTTTACAGTCTGCAAGAAGAAGACTGTTTATTTTTTAACGTCTGTAGACTGCTAAAATGAACTGAAATATAAATAAATTGACTTTTTAAACTTAAAAGAGTTTTGCAATATTGAGATTTAAATAATTTTAGTTTTACAATACTGAAATTTAAATAATTCATACAACTACAATAATAAATTATTTAAAATAAATCAATCCATACTAATTAATTATTTAAAATAAATCAATCCATACAACTACAATAATAAATCAATCCATATTTTAAAATAAATCAATTCATACTAATAAATTATTTAAAATAAATCAATCTATACAACTACAATAATAAATCAATCCATATTTTAAAATAAATCAATCTATACAAATAAATTATTTAAAATAAATCAATCTATACTAATAAATTATTTAAAATAAATCAATTCATATTTTAAAATAAATCAATTCATATTTTAAAATAAATCAATCCATACTAATAAATTATTTAAAATAAATCAATCCATATTTTAAAATAAATCAATTCATACTAATAAATTATTTAAAATAAATCAATCCATACAACTACAATAATAAATCAATCCATATTTTAAAATAAATCAATCCATACAAATAAATTATTTAAAATAAATCAATTCATACTAATAAATTATTTAAAATAAATCAATCCATATTTTAAAATAAATCAATCTATACAAATAAATTATTTAAAATAAATCAATTCATACTAATAAATTATTTAAAATAAATCAATCCATATTTTAAAATAAATCAATCCATACTAATAAATTATTTAAAATAAATCAATCCATACTAATAAATTATTTAAAATAAATCAATTCATACAACTACAATAATAAATCAATCCATATTTTAAAATAAATCAATCCATACTAATAAATTATTTAAAATAAATCAATCCATATTTTAAAATAAATCAATTCATACTAATAAATTATTTAAAATAAATTATTTTAAAATAAATCAATCCATATTTTATAATAATTTATTTTAAAGTAAATTATTTTATAATAAATTATTTTAAAATAAATTATTTTAAAATAAATTATTTTAAAATAAATAACCTTATTAAATTATTTAAAATTATTTTAATAAATAATTATATTTTATAATTGTTCTTGAAGAGATTTGAAGACCTTTGAATACATAAAACAAAGTCTTCAAAGGTCTGCACCAAGAAGAGCTCGCGCAGACGTTTGAAGAGCTTCTGTCTTCTAAAAAACAAACAGTCTGCGAAACCTAATGTCTGTGCGTGGTCTGCGCGACGCAGACATAAGTGGTTTGAAGAGCTTACACAGTGAAAACAAACACCACCTTAACCTCCCCAAATGAAAAACAAAAACAAAAGTCCAACTTATATCCACCCAAAAAGCATGGGTCATGTTATTCGCTAAGGGCACCATCCATGTCATGATTCTTACGTTGGAATGAGGAATTATTAATCTCAACTTCTTCATTAGTTTCCAAGTCAATAACTCATTATCATAATTGATTTACTGTTAATTTTAACCTTATAATTATTAAAGTGTAAAATAACTTAACAGCACCCAATGGAAGAGAGTGATGCATGCCAAGAAAAATTAAAGAAGGGATTGCTAATTGGCCTTATAATTACTTGGAAATGGATGCGTCATTAAACAAACTCGCCTGTCATTACTCATTAGCATCTAAAATATTGTAATTTTTTTACCTTTCTGATTCCTTTAATAAATGATATAATTGTTTTTCTTGATTAAGAGGGCTTTGCTTAATTATAATTGCTCTCGAGTATTGCCATGTTGATATTGGCTTTTAGAGACATGGTGACTCACTTTATATATTATATATTAAAAACCTTATAAGAAATCCTATCTCATATCTTACATTTATTTTAATTTTAAATTATACCCCTAAATTTTACATAATTTGTGTATATCTTTTTATATTTTATATATATTCTAAATTTTATTTTCAATATATTCATATTTTAATTATATTTAATAATGACATTACAAGGCTACCATAACTAGACAGTTGTTAATTGCAAGGCATGGAGGATTGATTTTAACTTTTTATGAGCGTGGAGTGTTTGTTGGAGAATCCATAACCAGAACGGTTCCATGCTTACCCGATCCCCACCACCAATATTTAAAACCATATAGCCCCTTAAACAAGTTTTAGGGCCATAAAACATGGTCATTTTTTAAAAATTTGTTTAGTATATTATATAAATTATTTCATATCTTGTTATTTTTAGAGATGACAATGTTGATTTGAATAATCGTAAATTTTAAAATTTTAACATCTATGAATCTTAAACTTTTAATATCGTTTTAAGTAAGGTATCTAGTTCGAGTTATTGTGTATGAAAAAAAATCTCTGATGAGATATTCACCCACTAAAATCATATGTACAACTCGAGTCGGTCCGGATTAGTAGAGGCGAAGCCTTGGAACATGGAGGGCAACCAATATAGTGTGTGAATGAAATATTTATTAAAACAAATTTTATTGTTAATCTTATAAAAGATTTGTTTCCTATCTAAGTTTGTGTTTTTCAAACACGGGGTAATATTATTATTTTTAATTATCTAGCCAGGGTTGTATGTACGCTCATCTTGGTTAACTCATAACATCCATGTAAAATGGACGGTCCATTAGAAAGTCAATACAGACGCGTACATATGTAGTGAGACTCATGTGATGGTGCGTTACACTACATTTATTTTTACTTCGTGGGTAAGCTAATGTGCCATATGCACTTTTGTTTTTGTATCACATTATGGGAGAGAAGAAGCTTAGCATAATTTCGGTTAAGTGGTCAATCCACAACAACCACCATCATGACATCTCTCCAGGCATTATTTAATAATTAATATTTAATACTATTTTTTTTCGAAAATAAAAGTGGTAAAAGTTTTAATATTATGATGACAATGATGAGATTAAGCTAATCTCCATTTGATGATGTTTGGATTTATCACATAATGCATTCAAAATTTTACTTATATATATGTATAAATAAACAATTCTTATAGGGAATAAATCCCAAACTTTTGAGATGTGCTAACTGTTAAGTGGAAAAATGGTTAATTAGTTTGGAAGTATAATATCTTTAATTTAGTTCGGGATTATTTTAGACGAAATGATATTATCATCAATGAATACATGTGGAAGAGGATGCTCACGGCGGTTCACTATATTCGATTTGAGTGAAGAATTGTGTAATAATGATAAAAGACTCAAATATTATGAGTTTTGAAGAATCAAAATGATTTTAAGAGCAAGAGTTGAAGATATCAATCAGTGTCTTACGATGATTCACCTCAATTGATTTAATAAGGGGGTTATACATAATAATGATAAAAGAACTACATATTTTATTATCAAATAAAGATTCAAACTATTAACTGAAACCTTGTATATCTAGTTAAAAAATAAAGATATAATTTAATAAAATTTAGTATTATACTAGTATTCAAAAGTAAAATTATCTATGAATTCAATTCAACATTATTGTTATTTAATTAGTATGAAATGATTATATGATAATATTTATTTAATTTTTTTAATTATTTAACAATAAAAACTTAAATACGTAGACATTATACTCGAACTCAAAGGTTCTAAAAATATTAACAATTTTTTAATCAATGAAATTGATTGATACGTACGGATTAGATAATAAGGGATAATAATGTGTTGATATTTTTGCATTTCAGCACTATAAATTGGATCCGAAGCCGGAACCGGTCATGGTAAAGCCACCCGAGGGGGCCCCGAACACCAAACACCCACCAAACAGACCCGCCGTGCTTTCATCATTTCTTCGCCAGTTTTTGTCAAAGCTTTTACGTTTTTTTTTAATTATTTCTCTCTTTTCGTGTACTAAGGCCATTTTCGTCAATTTATATCCCCTATTTAATCGACGGTGTATGTTAGGATCCGTGCATTCCATAAATCTTCGGCTCTTTGACTGTGAAGCCTCGCTTATCTTTGTTTCAGGAAGGGAAAAAAGAAAAGAAAAATAAACATTTCAGACTTCAAAAATATCACTTTCTCTATCTGCAGCTTAAGGATTGTTGGATATATTTTGTGTTACTTTTAATTGTGTTCTTTTAGGTTTCTTATCCTTTCTTCTTTCCTGTAAGTTGTCAGCTTCTTTGATCCTTTTCTCTTCCACATTTGATTTACTTTGTTTTGTTGCTGTTATTTTAGCTTATTATTTTTGCTGTTAATCCCCCTTTGCAGGATTCTAGGTTGTTTTTTTTTGGGAGAGCGTTACGGTGGCTATTTGCAGCGAAGAAGGTGCAGCATGCGTTGGTGGTTGAGTCTTTCAGTTGACGTGTTTCGAAAAGTCATCTCCTTGAACTTGTATTGCAGAGTGATTCTGTAATTCCATAATACATCTTAGAGATCCACTTTTATTTTGTTTTTTTAGTTAGGGTTAGTAAATCTATCCTCCATGGGATCCACTTTTTTCATCGTCGTTCCATGTTATGTCCGCCAGATTAGCTGAAAATCTCCAAACGCGTTGCTCAAATTTCTAATTCAAGAATTATCATTAGTAGTAGTTGCTGTTGTTCAGTTTTTGTTGATCTAGAACACGGATCTCGGGGTTTTGAATACGTTCTCGTTCCCGGAAGACCCTTTCTTTTTTGGTACCACATCGAAGGGCTAGGACGTAGTTATGGTGTGCCAAGCAGCAAGCCAAACAAGATTCCGGGCATTGAAGTATGAAAATGGTATTGTAGTTAGAGTCATAGCATGCTTTCAACCTCTTCAGGATTGCCAGGTTTGTTATTTCTCCTTTGTTTTTTTTCAAGCATTTCTGAAAAATTAGATACCCTTTTGTTTTGTGATGTTTACATTTCGTTGGTTCATATTTGTTTTCTTTAACGTGAGATTCCTCGTTCATTCATTATATTGTGTTATTACTGATGATTGGTGAGAAAATTTATGCCCACTCTTTATTGAATTTCCCTTTGTTGCGTTTTTTTTCCAGGCTGAATATTTCCGTCATTTGCTTAAGCCAGTTACGTAGGTTGCTTTTTACGTTTTCGCGTTCAAGTTAAGCTGGAATTTTAAGTTCTATTTTCCCCTTTGGTTTTGAGAGAAACTGCAAGTAAACTGCCATTTCTACTGCTACAACATTCGGTTTCTGGTATGTAGTGCTATTTCTTCTACTTGGTTTTATCAAATATCTACTTGTTAGTCTTTGGAATAATCCTTTTTTGGATCCTCTTGTGTTTTTCTGTAGTTGATTGTTCTTGTTCAATGGGAGAAGGCTGTAGATCCGGGTTTCCTCTGCCGCAATTTGATCGGCAATCACTCATCTCGAACTCTTTGCCTGATCCACTTCCTTTTGGGCTTCAAAGTACCAATCCTCCATTCATTAACTTTGGCACTAATATGGTGTCCAATGCTTGGACTTGGCCAGTTTGTGCAAATCCAGAATCACCTCTCTCGCAGGTTAGCCAAGGTAATGAACCTCGTGGCAGGTTTTACTGTTTACCCCGCTTTCAATTGGTCTTTGATTCAAACTCTTTTTTGAAAGAGCAACCCACAACTAATCCATATGAAAATTGCAAAGAAAGTGGTACTGGTATCCACAACGCAAGGTCTGGGGTTGTAGAGAAAAGATTCCTTGTTTTCGATCAGTCTGCTGATCAAACTACCCTGATTTTTAGTTCTGCTTTCGGGACTCCTATCAAGTGCCTGACTTCTTGGGGTCTAAAATCTCCTGTTGCGGGTAACTTTAACTTGGAAGATCCCATAGCTAAAGTAAACGGGAATATTCACTCTGGACCAATATCTACAGATATATTTGATGAAAATGGGACTGAATTGCAAAGTGAAATGCATGAGGACACGGACGAACTCAATGCATTGCTTTACTCAGACGACGATAGTGAGTATACTGAGGATGATGAAGTTACGAGCACAGGTCATTCTCCTAGTACAATGACTGCTCAGGATGAGCAATATTTTGAGGGAAGCTGTGAAGAGGTAGCTAGCTCTACAAGGCTAACTAAGAAGCGAAAGCTGCTTGATGGCAGTAATGATTATTCACCGTTGCTTATGGACACTGCTAATTCATGGAATCCTAACAAAAATTTAAAATACGAGGATGATGCAGAGTCCAGCTGTGCCAATGGTCAAAATCCTAGATCAGGTGACATGGATTCATCTCCAGGCAACAAGAGGACGAGAAAGGATAAAATCCGTGAGACGGTGAGGGTTTTGCGAAGCATAATTCCAGGTGGAGAGGGAAAAGATGCAGTTGTGGTTCTTGATGAAGCTATTGAGTACTTGAAGTCCTTGAAACACAGCCAAAACCTTGAGACCTAGTACTCGATGAACTGCAACTGTTCTTACCATTGTTAATGGACCTGTTTTAAATAAGTAGAGATAATCATGCATTGTCACATATATAATTTGTAGTCTTCCGAAATTAAAAGGTGGTGATCCCCGTCCCTCTTCTTACGTCCTTAAGTTGGAAAGCATTAGCATTGGCTTGAAATCTCAGTCTATTTTCCTAAAGAAATCGGGAAAACTGCTGTGTATATTATGGGACAATAAAGTAAGGCAAATCATTAGTCAACATCTTGGGGTTTAGAGAAAGTAAAACTCCCAGCTTGGATTTGTGAATGGAAAGACTGGTTATTCTAGAGGGACCCTTCTAAAAGGGAGTCTAAGCGCACGCTGATTAGGTTTGGGTCAATTTCTTCTTCCTTTTTGTATTCTTGTCGAGTTTCATGCTTGTGGGTTCCTTTTTTCCCTTGATGCAGAAAATTGCACGAGCAAAGAGCCTTCTCCCATTTTCATCATATGCCATGGGGGCCCCATATCTCAGCATCTGATGCATTCCTTCTTTTGCCATCATCATGGGGTCTTGATCTTGTAGTGCTTTGAATTATATTGTGATGTGAGCATCCATGGCCGGCATGGGTGTTGATGTAATTTTATGTTTTTCTTTGGTGTAATATATTGTCCTTTTGCCTATGTATTTTTACCCGTCTTGCATGCATTTATGTATGAGAGAGCGACATCTTTTGTCCCCTCCCTACCTGAAATGGTGCAAGGTAATGGCTTTCGGTGATGGGACCACCAAAGCTGCTGGCAAGCACCATTTCCAGTTTATCATCCTTTGCTAATTGCCACATCAAAACTGGACACTACAGGAAAAAGGGTAAAGAAGACTTATAACATTAACGACTGAAATACACTGATAATTGTCTTTCAATTTAGTCATTATGATTCAACTAAAATTTATAATCAAATTATTATTGATAATTGTCATCGATTTTGATAAAATTATAGTTAAAAAATAAAAAATATTAATATAATAAAACATTTAAAACTAAAATCAGTTTTAAACCCTTTCCCCCTCTAAATTAGTCAAAGTTGAAAAAGAAACGAAAATAAAACAGTAATTTGTTAGTAATTTTATTTAGTAAGGTGATGAAGCACTATTATTTATTTTTGGCATGTTATTATGAAATTAAAAAGAAAAATGAAAACATGGTGCGTGGATGAAACTGGAGTTCACCTAAACTGGGCCCTCATTCATGTCACGTCATATCATGGCTTGTGCTTTCACAAGCTTTCTTAGAATCTATTCTTCAACGAGCCGAAACCTTTGAATCATGCTTTGATCAATTGAATGATTAATTATAGAGAAAATAACTTTACTAACAAAAAAATGTCTTATAATATATTATTTTAACAATTTTTTTTATTTATCAAAATGATCAATTAAATCGTAATGCGATCGATAATTCGCAACGCGATCTCTGGTATCGCAAATCAGTTTTTAGATTCGTAACGCGATTTTGATTATCGCATTACGATTTTCCAAATTCACGTTGCGATTTTCCGACTATCGCAATGCGAATATGTAAATCGCAATGCGATTATGACTATCGCAACGCGATTCTGACTGTCGCAACGCGATTCTGACTGTCACAACGCGATGCTGACTATCGCAATGTGATTTTCAAAGCGTCATTATTATCGCAACGTGTATTTTTTTTTCAAATTCTAAACACGAATATTAATATATCGGAACACTGAACCGTCAACAATATATCCTGTAATCCCAACTCATAACCTAAAACCCTAAATCACAACTCAGTCCCATCTCCATCTCTCACTCTCTAAGACGACATCCGTCCCTATCTCCGACGAAATCAATCCCCATCTCCGACGAAATCCGTCTATCTCCATCTCTCAGAGCCACCCTCACAATCATTCACGGTCAGATATAGAAAATCAACCAAATCAACCACCGAGGGTTAGTTTTTTTTAATTATTTTTATTTTGAAAATTTTGCATTATTATTAGGTTTTTCATATTGAAATTGATGATAAGTTTACTGGTAATTTCAATAATAGATTAACAATTTCATTTAGATTGCTTATTAAATTCATTCGATTGCTGCCAATACTGCTAAACTGTTTAGTCTTTAAACCCTGTGAATTTAGTATTTGTCTTTGTTTTGTCTTTTGGTTGAATTAATGCAATCCATTCAAGTTTCAATTTTAGTATTTGAAACCGAGAATCGCAACGACAGAATCGCAATGCGATTTTAGTTTCACGTTGCGATTTTAGTTTTGCGTTGCGATTCTCGCGTTGCGATAGTCAAATTCGCATTGCGATAGTCATTTTCGTGTTGCGATTTTCACTTTTGTGTTGCGATTTTAAGTTTCAGAAACTATTCTTCTTCTGCAAATTGAAACTTGAATGAATTGCATTACTTCAACAAAAAAACAAAGAAAAATACTAAATTCACAGTGTTGCAAATTTAAGTTTGAAAAATAAACTACTGCTCTTTATGTTTATTGTTCTTGGTATATCTTCACAGTGTAGTTTTTTGTATATCTAACTTGGTATGTTTATTGATTTTGTAGAACTTTTATTCGGCTCAATTGACCTTAAGAAATAAATTAAGCCTGGCCAAAACAATTGCGTCGAAGCTTTCACCTGCACAAAGAAAAATATTTGAGGATACTTGCTTTGGGTCATGGCTGAAAGTACAACATCCAGGTGGAGATGCTATGTTGACCCATCTGTTTCTTCAAACCATGACTAGCGATCTACCAGAGACTATACAACGTCGTGATGAAGAGATATGGTTTGATTTTCCACCGGCGTATACATATTTTGGGCGGGAGGAGTTTTGCTTAATCACCGGTCTACGCTTCGGACACGATGATGTAGGTCGGTACACTAGACATATTACCCGCCTATCATGGTTATCCCGGGTTTTTCCTGAGCTGTCAATGGAGAAGCCGAATTTACACGTGGAAGACTTGACGAGAGTATTGAATAAGAAAGATGGTTTTACTCGGATGTATGACGTCGATGTTGTCCGAGTATGCCTTCTAATACTTTTGCATGCCAACTTTTTAGGCAGAGAGACCAGACTACCTATTCCTAATGATCTAATTAAATTGGTAGAGGACCTAAATGCATGGAACCTGTTTCTGTGGGGTTCGTATCTATGGAAAGCTACATGGAATAAGTTGTCGTCTGCCTTTGATGATCGAAAAAGTTTGCGTGGCGATGGTTCCAAATACACTTTGTCAGACTTTATTTGGGCCTTTAAGGTAAGAATTTTTATATAATGTTTCCAAAATTATAATTAATTATTATTTAACAATTACTAATATTTGTTATTATATTGTTTGTAGATTTGGATATTTGAGGCCTTTCCCGCCATGCAGACATATGCATTAAAAACTTCTAATGATATTCCTAGGGCTATTTCCTGGAAGAGGAAACGGACTTTGCAGCAATGGGAATATTTACTAGCGTATACAACAATAAAAAATGTAAATTAACACAAATACTACCATATGTTTATAAACAAGTTATTACTAGTACACGTTTAACTTTGTTTGAGCTTTTATATTGTTAGGAGGCCAACACTCCATTACAGAGGCTGACACCCACGGAAGCTGAGCTTCCCACTGATTGGTGGCAAGCTAGTAAGCGTTTTTTTGATGGCACGGATGATGAGCATCCTCCACTTCGAGAGCCATTACCTCACCCAGAGCCATCACCTGATCGACCCGACTATACACCTCCACAACGAGAGCCATCACCTATTCTGTCACATCATCGAGCCTCTTCTCCACCATCACCTCATGATAGGCGACCGACAAAGATGCCACGACGTTTATCTCACTGTTCTCCACCTCCACGGGATGAGTTAGGGAAGTTACGTGATGATGTCAATGCCTTGCGTGAGGAGGTCGGTACTTTACGCGATGACAATAGTGCATGGCGTGTTGAGGTGTCTACTTTACGTGGTGAGGTAGCCGCGCTACGTGAGATGGTAGCATCGTTGCGGAATGAGGTTCATACTCTACACAATGAGGTAAGTATAATATTTTTCATATTTAACTTGATGATAAATTTACTCGTAATTTCACTTAGATTAACCATTTCACTTAGATTGCTTAGTAAATTCATTCGGTTGCTGCCAATACTGCTAAACTGTTTATTCTTTAACCCTGTGAAGTTAGTATTTGTTTTTGGTTATCTTTTGGTTGAAGTAATGCAATCCATTCAAGTTTCAATTTGCAGAAGAAGAATAGTTTACTTTCGCAATGCGAAAATGACTATCGCAACGCGAAAATGACTATCGCAACGAAAGAATCGCAATGCAAAATGAAAATCGCATTGCGATTCTCTCGTTGCGATAGTCAAATTCGCGTTGCGATAGTCAAATTCGCGTTGCGATAGTCATTTTCGCGTTGTGATAGTATTTTTCGCGTTGCGATTTTAAGTTTCAGATCTATTCTTCTTCTACAAATTGAAACTTGAATGAATTGCATTACTTCAACCAAAAGACAAAGACAAATACTAACTTCACTATAACCTCTAGACCCGGCCTATGCGTTTCAACTAAGTCTAGTGGATCACATACATGATTCTTAAAGACATTTTCTGAAACCGTTATCCAATCAATGTAAAACCACATTATTCATGACATGAAATTATAATAAATTATACTATTAAAACTCAACTCTTAAATATAAAACCAATCAGTAATAAATTAATTTAAAACATATCTTAAAAATCAAAACCACGATAAACTGAATAGTTTTAGCAAAAGTATCATAATTATAAAATCCAATACTTTAAAATAGATCCATGTCACCAGAATAAAGTCAAATTGTAAATTTAAAATATTACAATTAAATATACTTCAAGAGATATGTTGATCATCCAAGTGCTCGAACCGAGGTATCTAACCAACAGTATCTGAAAGGGGAAAACATTTTCGAAAGGTGAGCTAGGCTCAGTGTGTCCCAACATTACCATAAAATCACAATAGGTACATTAAACAAATCATAGTCCAGTAATTCTCATAAATTCGTAAAAGAGTTTAACTTTTGAAAATCATAGTTTAAACCCTTTTCTAGTACACCATCAGTAGTTCCCAAAATTATTTTCCATATAGCTTACTTTATACACATAACAAAAAGAAAGTCGACTTAAGGATAGTCTATGAAGCTTGTATCCTTAAGCCCAAGTCAATAAGTCCATATAGCTTACCCTAAGCACACATCAAAGGAAAGACGACCTAATGAAACATCTTGGGGCCCTCAAGAGTCACATTAGGCCCGTTTACTAGCTTGATCAGAGCTATACAATTGTAGTTCAATCCATCCCAAAATCAATATCCATATACCAGTCATTAAGGTCCATAAATCATCAACAATAAATCGGTGTACCAATAATAATAATCCATAGATTTCAATGTACCATATTTCAAAACATAT